TATAATATAATATATACAGTCTTCACATATAGGAATTTGCTGAAGTCATGAGAATTTTGATGCCAAAATAAATGAGACACCCTGTAAGTCAAATTCATTTCCATTAAAAAAAATTACTTCTGTGGCCTCTTAGCTGTCTACCTGACATTCATGTAATCATGTGTCTCTCCTCTTCTTTCTCTCTCTCTCTCTCTATACTGATCCATATTCAGTGTGCTAGAGAAACATGTAGATCTGGATGAGTGTGATGACGTGAACGATGGCACATTACTGGAGATTTGGTACACGCCACCAGAGGCTTTAGGTTGGTGGCGCCTCTTTTGGTTTCCAATTTCTATCCAATTTTGTGTCATTTTTAGCTCGCTGTCATCTGTATGTGCTTATGTTTCCTTTTAGTCTTGCCAAATGATGAAGAAACAGGTATATATATATATATTACTAGGTTTAAGATCTCCTCAAAGCTTTTTCTGTAACAGATGAATAAAAAGGTAAATAAGCTTTAATGATTAAATAATGTTGTTGTTATCATTTCAGATGCAGATGCAGACACGGGACCCTCTTATACAGGTAAAAACTAGTCACGTCTTATTCTACAGTAAAAGTAAATCCACAATATTGGATTCATATTTGGAGAAACAGCATTGGGAAACATGCGCATGCAAACCACTAAGCCACGGCTCTGACAAACTCTGATGTAAATACTGTTATTGTAACATGTCTATAATGATTGTCTAGTACGGACATGTGAGCACAACACACGGCGGCTCACACTCGCCCGGGTGAAGCGCACCACACCGCCGCTGTCGTGTCACGTCCGAGCCCGGCTGAAGAAATACAAGCCTCAGCAGTTATACCAGTGCCTGAAACTCTTCTGCTTCAACTGTAAAACAATGTGAGTCTGGCACTTTACACAACCCGCTCCTGACTCTCATTCATGAAAAAAAATTTGTAATATTGCTTATTGTATACTTTATTTAATTGTTTAATACTCATTAGTTGGAGACAAATATTTAAATAAAATTAAATGTGTGATCTGTACTGGTTCAAGGGCGGATTTTTCATTCAAAATGGGTCTCATTTTGATCTTAGATAAGAAATTCCTGGATCACCATTATATTTTGTGTGTTTCACTCTTGAGGAGCAGAGATTTATAGATTTATTATACTAGATTTGCTATACAGGTGCATCTCAATAAATTAGAATGTCGTGGAAAAGTTCATTTATTTCAGTAATTCAACTCAAATTGTGAAACTCGTGTATTAAATAAATTCAATGCACACAGACTGAAGTAGTTTAAGTCTTTGGTTCTTTTAAAGGGGTCATATGATGCTGCTAAAAAGAACATTTTTTTGTTGGTCTTATGAAGTATTCTAATTTGTTTGTTGGTGGGTTTTTGTTAAATGTGAGCCAAAATCATCACAATTAAAAGAACCAAAGACTTAAACTACTTCAGTCTGTGTGCATTGAATTTATTTAATACACGAGTTTCACAATTTGAGTTGAATTACTGAAATAAATTAACTTTCCCATGACATTCTAATTTATTGAGATGCACCTGTATGTTCTGTTTGCCACCTGGTGGCTATTAAGTGGAATACAACTGAAAGATTTAAGTAAGACGCATCTGATTTAACTTGGTATATCACAATCCTAATAAATAATCCAAAACTTTTTAATTTTGTTACATTTACACTACGGATCAAAAGTATTTTTTTTTTTAAATTTTATTCAACAAGGATGCATGAAATGTTTATAATGTTACAAAAGATTTCTGCTTTAAATAAACAGTGTTCTTTTAAACTTTCTATTCAAAGAATATTTAGGGAAAAAAATAGCATGGTTTCCACAAAAATGTTAAACAGCACAACTGTTTTCATCATTAATAATAAATGTTTTTGGAGCAGCAAATCAGCATATTAGAATGATTTCTGAAGGATCATGTAACACTGAAGACTAGAGTAATGATGCTGAAAATTCAGCTTTGCATCACAGGAATAAATTAGATTTTAAAATAAAATAGAAAATGGTTATTTTAAATTGAAAAAATATTTCACAATATAGCTTGTAACACTCCAAAGAGAAAGGAAAACTTGAAATCGCATCATATGACCCCTTTAATCAAATAAATTCAGCTTTGCCATCACAGGAAAAAAACAACATTTTTAAATATATCCAACTAGAAAACAGCTATTTTAAATTGAAATAATTTTTGACAGTACTGTCTTCCCTTGTTTTTTAATTAAATAATTTCAGTCTTTGTGAATTTAAAGACAGTTAAAGAAAACGTCATTATTCCAAGCTTTTGGTCGCCAGTGCAAGTAATTACAGTACGATTAAAAACCTGTTAATTAGTTAACTGTAAATCCCTTGATGAGCATAAGAGACTTCTTTCCAAACATTAAAAATCTTACCAACCCCAACCTTTTGAACAGTAGTCTACTTTTTTTTTGTATGTGACAGGAAATATGTTCCCGATGACAGCGCTGTTGCTAAAGTCTTCCGGGAGTCTGTGAAAGACAACCAACCTTGCGATGAGCAGTGGGCCGCCACTTCATCAGCAAGTTCTAGAGAGCCTGGCAGAACCATCTCAATGCACATATCCAGAGACATGGTGGGGGAAAGCACTCACATGCAGCTGATATTCGTTGAAGGTATCTCTGACTAAAAAGAGAAGCATTTTTATATATAGATTTGTATTTCCATTTACAAATAAAGCATTGTATCTACAGGAACGATGCTGGATGAGATTTGCATGTTATCACGGCATTACAAAAACCTGGTTCCCGTGAGATCTGTGAACGGCAGGATGACTCTTCTGGATCTCACAGCTCCCTTCCTGTTCTCTGGAGACAAAAGATATTATGGGTAAGAGGACAGGCCTACCTGATACATTGCATACATCTATTATCATGACAAACCCCAGGGGAGGATACGATCACATCTATATGTAGTTAAATGGATATTTGTGTGTGTCTCTCAGGTGTAAGCAGTGCTCTCTGAACACATTTCAAAACCCAGTGTTTACTGCAGTGGAGATCTGGGATGAACAGGCCGTTGCAGAAGGTAGTTTTTTTTTTTTTTTTTTATTAATTAACAATTACATCGTTCATTTTGACTGTTTATGACTATATTTTACCCAATATGTAGAATTAACATATATTTCTCTAATCTAACTTCAGTACTGTCAAAACAAATAAAACGGTAATGAAAATGATTTTAATTTTGCTGTACAGCACCACAAATTGTTATCTTAGTATCATTGATACTATTACAGTTTTTATTAACACTTTGAGTTTTTATTTTTAGATTTTCTGTTTTCTGTTTTCATTTTAATTTCAATTCAAATATAGGCCCATGCAGTTTTTATTTTAGTTATTTTTGCACATCAAATTAAGCTAAACTAAATTGAGAAATGTTGCCTAATTTCAGTTAACATTTATTTTATTTCAAGTAACAAAAAAAATGTTTTTTAATAGTTTTAATTTTAGCCTTAGTTTTAGTTAACTATAATAACCCTGTACTGAGTAGAAGTATATTTTATTATAATTGAATGTATATAGAATAAGAACAGTTTTATAGGTGCCCCTTTAAATATCTAAAGTTTATGTGTGCTAACATTCTTAATCACTTATTCATACAGAAAAAATACATTAATTACTAAATATTATAACATTTTAAAATTCATTTCATTTTATTTAATAATTGTATTATTTTTTTTTACAAAAACAAAAAACAAGGACTTCAAAATCTGTAGCTAAGGTCAAAATAACATGTCATGTCAGTTTTAAAATGATAAGTAATTAAATTGAGGTCTTTTTTGTTGTTGTTTATTAAGTTATTTATTATTTGTTTGTTTTGTTACTTTTAATGAGCCTAGTTCAGTTCAAATGTATGTTTTCAGGTGTGTTTTCAAAAAAGCCGACCCAGGCATCACTGCAACATTTATTTATTTATTTTTTTTTAAATATCTCATGTGATGTCCTAGTTGGCCAAAAAAAAAAAACCTGTAGACACTTCAGCCACTCTTAAAAATGTATGGCTGTACCTTTAAGGAGTTCATCTGTGTCTCTGTCACACAGCCCTGGGAGTTCAGCTGATGCAGTTCAGATTGTTAATCCAGTTTGATCTGGAGGACCACACTGACACATTAGAGGCTCTGCTGTGGGAGAACGCTGTGAGTGTACATGTTATAGCAATGCCATTTGCAAAGTAGTCTTTCAAAAGAGTAGCAATGCTGCAAACGTACATCAGCAGAGGGCACTGCTTTTTTTTTTTTTAGAAATGGATAAGAGTGATTGTCTTATTCTTTATAGGAGAGGTTCTTCCATGTTTCTGCTGTAGATGCTTCAGGCAGTCAGGATTTGCAGGACAAGATTCAGACCATCATGGACACAATTCAACCACCATACAGCAGTTTGGGTAAAGATTTCATTTCCTATGAATCGTTTGTCTGAATTCCTACATTATTTAGAATAAGATAATGTTTTTTTTCCTGTACTGTCTTTGTAGAAGAGCGTCCATGGCTGGATCTTTGCCTCTCAGTCTACCCTGTAAAGGACAACGACAGAAATAAAGTTTGCTATCAGATCACTAACACAGAAATTAGAGAAGAATAGAGCAAATTGATCATAGATGGCCACCTGCGATGAACAAGAAAAAAGGAGTTGCCAGAAATGTTTTGTGTTGAGAAATGTAAATACATTATGGTCAAACACAATCCATAAATTCATATTGTAAAATAAAACAGCTTTATATTTATAATGCATCTGTTCAGTCTTTTCTGCTGGATTCCCACTTATTTCCAGTTAAAATAATGACTAGTTCTATAGAGTATATAGTATAAAGTATAAAACTCTTTTCTGTTTACTTGTTCTGCTTAGACCTGTATGTGTCATATTTAACAAGCCATCTGAAGTGAAGTGAAGTAACTGGTGAGCATCGAAAGCCGGTGGTTGTTGCTAGAAACGCATTGCAGTTCTGTTTCAGTCCACTAGGTGGCACTGTGTTGTATCTGTGAAAGCGGCGCCTCCCCGACCGAGCTTCATATCACAGAGCTGCATCAGGAGCACATGAACGGCACTCAAGGATTCTAACTATAGAGAAGCTGGGCCTTACATGTACATTTTCCTGTTAGACGAAACGCTAGTAAATATTTATGAGGTTCCAGGGCTTCAACTAGTTTTTAATTGTTTGGTTAGTCACCTGTTTGACCAAGTATTTCCACTTTTTTCCCCATCACAATTCTGCTGTTATAATAGTACTCCTGGGATTAAAAAATGGAAACTGGAGATGTTCATCTAAACGAGAGACCAACGAACGGGACTACTCTTGATGTTTGTTCCACAGCTTTGCCTTAACAATACTGGAATTATCAAAACTTGGATATTTTCGCAATGGAAATGCAATTTTTAACTGTATTTTGTTTGCTCGTGTGTTGTGAACTCTCAGTAGTTCTCGCGCGTAGCAATAACACGGCAGATTTAACGTCAAAAATCGCTTCATCCTATAAAGTGCGTGAAATCAATACAGACGGGAATGAACGACGTGTAACTTTAAATAAAATCAGTTATGAAACGAGTAAGAAACCTACAGATGTGCTTTTATCGACCAGGAGTACGATAAACTTAACGTCGGTGAATGGGAGCGATAACACAACGGTAAGAGCGTCTTCCAGGCAAAAGTACGAAAGAACTTATCAAATGGACAAATATAGGAAAACAAAATCATTTCTGAGGGAAATGCACGGCGAAATTCGCGTAAAACGTCGTTATCGTCGACAGGAAAGAGTGACTGCGCGAAATGAGCCTGATAGGAATCAAACCAGATTGCTTGAGAATGAATTTGAGCGTGTTGAGTCGATGCCGAAGCCTGTAGCGCAGATCCAGCCTACAGACTTTCCCACTGACTTCACGTCTATCCCTGAATGGGGCACCTCACCAGTGGAAGACTATGAGGAAGTCTTCACCCCGTTCATTCCCTTTAATACACGGTCAAAGACTCCAGGGGTGAAGAACCCGTTTTACCCTGTGACAGGTGAATCGTACGGTGCATATGCTGTCATGTGCATCTCCATTCTTATTTTCACTGTGGGAATTGTTGGGAATATAGCAATCATGTGCATAGTGTGCCACAATTACTACATGAGCTTGCCACTTGCTATATTCCATGAACTCACTAAGGATTGGCTCCTTGGGGAATTCTCCTGTAAAATCATTCCATACATTGAGGTAAAACTGTGGTCACTTTTGATGAATGATTGAAATGCAGTTTGTGTAACTGATGTGTGATATTCTTAATAGACCTACAATTTGAAAACGTGTATAAGGGTAGGCCTAACGTAAGGCAAGATGAATTGATACTAAAACTATATAATAATATAGGAAATCAGTTTGGATAAACAAGTTAATAAGGATCATACTTGTTCACATACTGTACATCACATATTAGAATGTTTCATGCCATTCTATCTCTTATGGTTTAATGCAGCCTATCCAGCTCTATGGTGTAAAATGAAGCATGGGACTTTGACTTTAGTCTAGCAGGTTCTCAAAGATAATCCCACTTTCACACATGAAGCTGGTTAAACTCTTGTAAAGTTGCTGGTTTACCTTTTCTGGTGAATGCACCACATCTGCTATTCACACCTCATTTGTCATTTTATGTGTCAGCTTGCATTGCGTATCAGCATCAAAAATGTTACAACTTGATGCCGTTTAAATCTGAAATGACAAAACATTTATGCCAGAGACACTTTTAGTATTTGTCTGCTAGTAACAAAGCACAGTACTCAAGACTGAGACGTTAAAGTTTCCTTCAAATGGCTGTTCTGCTAAACCATATGTGTTATTAGTCAAGTAAGTTGCTATATACATATTGACTTAAACTTGGTTAGCAAGATTTTTTGTCAAACTATTTCACCGCCAGGACAGTTGTTGACCTGAAAGAGAAACTGACTGAAAAAGATGTTTACACCAATCAAGCTAAAGCACCTTTTGTGGCAATGTTGAGATTGCAACACATACTTGCATTGCATTATTTCAGTCAACTGAAATCGTTTTTTTTACTGGCATAAAAAGCTAAAACATTCAGTGTGTGTCCAATTTCACAAATGTAAGATAATCACTATTTTTGACTTGCAAGTTTTAGTTTTGCGTCAACTACTTAACTTTGTTAAGTTATGTCAAAGCGCCCCTAACTGCATATTGTACAAGTTCAAACTGCTAAACGTGTCTTTGTTCTCATATAACATGAAGCATGAGCTTGATTTTTTTGCAACGTTCTTAAGCCGACAAATTTCCAGAGCTGATTTGTTGGCATTTTAACAATGGGAGATGTTCACACATTTTAAAATGAAAAATGCTGTTAAATGAACAAGAAGGCTATATGTGTGTGTGTGTGTGTGTGTGTGTGTAGATGACAGAAATTCAATGCATTGCAAATGTTATATGTGTAGGTCAGGACAGACATCTTTGCTGTGTTTTGTCTTCCTCCGTAAGGGGGAGTGTCTCATCTGCAGACACAAATAGATAGTGGTATTGCCCCTGGGGCAGCATTCAGATTGTATCATGTGTTTCTGAGGAATTGAACCTGATTGGTGCCATAGTGGTGGCTTTAATCTCCTGACACACTACAGAGAGCCAGGGCCTACACCCTAGATTCAGAACAACCCGCTAACTTGATCAAAATGCTTCAACCTAACAATGAAGTCGATGGCCTTAAATGGAAATGCTGTGGTTATGATGTTCATCTAGTGGGATTGAATTTCCTTGTCGTTCCACTGGCTCAGGGGTTCAGTACAAGTTACACTCAATCGACAGCACTTGTGGCTTAATATTGATTACTAATTCATTCAGACTTTTTCCTCATTTTTTTTTTACTTTTTTTTTTTTTAGAGGATTCAAATGCAGAAATGTTAATAATTTTATAAAATCACTTACATTATTTTTTCAGCTGAAACCTTTATTTAAAACTTCTATGTATTATTTGAGCTATATGATTGTTCTTGACATTTTAGGTGTTAAGTTGTCATTTACGTTTACGCATTTGGCAGGCACTTTTATCCAAAGCAGCTTACATTGCATTCAAGGTACACATTTTATGAGTTCTTGCTTTCCCTGGGAATCAAACCCATTACCTTGTTGTTGCTAGTGCCATGCTCTAGTGAACTTTTTTTTTGCATTAAAATCATGTTAATGCACATATTGTTTGTCTCGTGGCTATACTATTGTGTGTTTAAAAGTTTACAAAATGGCCCAATTCACTCCCATTGTAAGTGCCTCCCTGTGTAGCACAAGGTATAAGTTTTTACGCATAAGCATCAGAAATTTTGTCACCAAAATAGTATGCGCATACTGTACACATACCGTCCGATTTTTGTAACCAATTACACCGATATTGGACGCACATGCGCATTGACTTGGTTTTGCACTAATCAGTTGTTCCAAAAGTGGCAACACTGGCCCGGGCTGCTGTTTCACAATAGAAAATGAAACTAAAGAGACAAAACAACAACAACAATAAAATAGCCAACAGTTGCCTGCATTGACAAGCGCTTGCGTAAGGGGGTTGTGAGATAGCAGCAACTTTAGTTTAAAAGAGTGCAAAGACATTTTTTTTTGGTCATTCTGGAGAAAAATAGAGCAGACGCTGGAAAAAGATGAAGCTCTCTAGAGCACGTGTCGACCGCCTGCATTCACGTACACCTCAAATAGAGTATACTTTGAAAGGCTGCGCATTCAGCTGTACAAAAATGAAGTATACTTTGGGTTTAACCCAGATCTTTTTAAAGGTATAGTTCACTCAAAAATGAACATTTTTTCATTGTTTACTCATGCTTAAGTTTTTCCAAACCTGTATGAGTAATAATGTTGGTAACCAAACAGTAGCCATTGATTTCCATAGTCTTTTTTTTTTCCATTTAATGGAAGTCAATGGCTACAGTCAATTGTTTGGTTACCAACAACAGAAGAAAGAAACTCATTCAGGTTTGGAACGACTTGAGGGTGAGAGAATGATGACAGAACTTTCATTTTTGGGTGAACTATCCAATAGAACCTGGAATGAATATTAATAGCACCTGGAATGTTCCTTGATCCACTTTTTGTCCAGGTTTTTCAGTGGAAGGATTTTCTAAAAGTTTATTTATAATGACCACACATCTCCTTTACCTTGCAGGTGGCGTCATTAGGAGTAACTACCTTCACTCTTTGTGCTTTGTGCATTGACCGTTTCCGTGCCGCGAGCAACGTCCAGCTGTACTACGAGATGATCGAGAACTGCATCTCTACTGCAGCCAAGCTAACCGTGATCTGGCTGGGTGCTCTGCTCCTCGCCCTACCCGAGCTCCTCATCCGGCAGCTGGTGAGAGAGGAGCTCGAGCCTCCAGAGGTGATACCGTGCGAACATTGCGTAATCCAAATCTCCACGGCTCTCCCGGACACGCTTTACGTGCTCGGACTCACCTACAATAGCGCTCGCCTGTGGTGGTACTTCGGCTGCTACTTCTGCCTGCCCACCCTCTTCACCATCATCAGCTCGGTGGTGACTGCACGCAAAATCCGCAAGGCTGAGCGAACCAGCGTCCGAGGCAACCGCAAGCAGATCCAACTGGAAAGCCAAATGAACTGCATCGTGGTTGCTTTGGCTATCCTGTACGGCTTTTGCATCATTCCGGAGAACATCAGCAACATCGTATCGGTGTACATGGCTACAGGCGTGCCACGGCGCACGCTGGATATCTTGCATCTGGTGAGTCAGATGATGCTGTTCTTCAAGTCCGCGGTTACGCCTGTCCTGCTTCTGGTGCTCTGTCGGCCCTTCAGCAAAGCCTTCCTGGACTGCTGCTGCTGCTGTTTTGAGGAGTGCGGCCCACCAAAGTCCTCCGAGCCCAACAGTGATGACAACGATCAGGACGGCACCACCGAGCTGGAGCTTTCACCTTACAGCACTGTAGTCCGCAGGGATCCATCTACCTTCCCAATAGCGGGAACGCACTGCTAAGGTTGTACTTTACCTAAGGGCTAAACATTACCAAGGGCTTAGATTTACGGAATGAAATAGTTGAGAGATGTTGTTTTCACAGGCTGTGCAATTTTGTGCCATTTCTGTTTTTACTCGACTTTGTTTTGGGAGAGATGCCCAAAAACTGGATATTTTATCTTGTGAAAAAAGGGACAAAGAGCCACACATTTATCGCAGGCCATATGGTTGATGTTTACAAAAGAAGACGTGTACCATGAGTAGTTTCTTGGAAGTTTATAGGAAGTCTAGAAGGATTATAAATTAACAAACATGCATTTGTTACATTTGCACTGTTTTCTTACCCCTATATCTTTTTTTCCATTTTAATTTGGTGTATTTGTGTTTTTGTTCAAAGTGTCTTTAAACAAAAAAAGAGGCTTATGGATGGTAATAGAAAATGGTTGTTCGTAGTATGTTTTGGTGTTGTGGAAATTGGCGATTCTTGTGAATCGGTTTAACGTTAAGCCTAGCTCCTTTGCTACGTAAGTATTAAATTCACTCTGTATTTTCTAGCAGAAGAACTTGTGACGCTCTTCAGCCACTGGAAAGCACTGAAGAAGCTGTTTAGCCAAGACATGTCACTTTAATAAAAAAACAACAACACATTGGAAGCACTTAAGAGGATTTTTTTTTTTTACAGATGTTTGAGATAAACTTGATTTTTATGAAGTGAACCTGCCCTGGAGATAGTGTTTAGAATTTTGAAATTTTTTCTTTTTATTCAGTTTGTGATGGTAAATTGAAGACTTGGAGAAACTAACAAATCAGTTTTCCTCCAGTGGTAAGTTCACAGGCCTGTGGGTCATCAATGCAATACAGTAATTTCCTAGCACCCAGAGGCTATTGTTTAATGCTGTGGCCAGTTCAACATTAGGCATTCATATACAAGCGGATTCCATGACCTCACGGACAGAAGTGTGGACTGGATTGGGAATGTGGGGAAAGATGTAGGAAGCCTGTTTGGTTTAACAGGACAGCTGGAGTTTCGTTATTGGGGTCTGGTTGCTTATTGGCCATTTAGTGTCAAAGGAAAGTTGTACTTTTGCACTGCTTGAGGAACTATCCCATCTCTTTTACTATACATTTAAGCTTACCTCCAAAACCTAGTGAGCCACTTTGCTGTATGCTTCCTACACAGACAGCTTACTTCCAAGGCAGCATCATAACAGAAATGGAATCTCTATTGACTGGTAATGTGACACTGAAGACTGGAGTAACTTTCTTCTGCGGAACAAAAAAGATATTTTGAAAAATGTCCAATGTTTTGGACCCCATTGACTTTAACTGTATGGACAAAAACATTTGAAATTTTTTAAAACTACTTTTGTATTGCACGGAAGAGAGTCATACAATTTTGGAACAATGCAAAAGTGATATAATTGACAGCATTGTCTCCATCTTCTCTGTACATTCTCCACTTCTTTCTTTGACTCGTGACTTTGAGTACCTGATCAAAATACGTTCAGATCATGAAGAAGATTAGCGTGTATTTTATTTTAAAGGGGTCATATGATGCGATTTAAATTTTTCCTTTCTCTTTGGAGTGTTACAAGCTCTTGGTGCATAAAGAAGATCTGTAAAGTTGCAAAGACTAAAGTCTCAAATCCAAAGAGATCTTCTTTATAAAAGTTAAGAGTCAACCACGTTAGAAAGGCAGGGCATAGAGGAGAAACAATAATGTACAGTATGTGGAAAATAATGTGTTTTTTTAACCTTAAACCGCATAAACACATTTCATTACACCAAATACACAAAATAATGTTCTTTTTAGCAACATCATATGACCCCTTTAAGGTTCTCTGTTCATTGATGACATTCTCATGCATATTTAAGTGAATTGCATCATTCAGACCCACTTCGGCCTAATAAATGATTCATAGGCACAAACAAACAGTCATTCTTTTGAACGGCACGTGTCATATTAATATTTCATGAATGATGAGCACTTCATGCCACTACAATGCATACTTGAGATGTTGTTGGGTCCTGCAAAGACTATATTCATTCTTTGTCTCATTTTT